TATTTAATTTATTATTTTGTTATTACCAGATCTTCGTTGCGTCACTTGTCAAATCTTTTTGGGATTTGATTCTTGTGTGAAGTTAACACATTTTAAGTTTCTAACTCTCTTTTTCTTTGTCATCAAACACATTTTAATTTGTATTTACTTTGGTAAAGACGATTAAAACACACCCTTTTGGCTTCACTCTTGTTGCAGATAAACCTTATATGCAGATGTAGATGTAGTTACAGTTTTTCGTTTGCTTTGTCAAACTCTGAGGTCAGGTTATGGACTCATGTATCATGGGATTAGTAAACTTATGTAGCTATATTCTTGAATCTTATATCTATCTTGATTATTGAGCGAATAAATCTTATATGAATTTAAAATATCTTTGAAAACAAATATGGCATGAAGACTCGTACCCAAAAAAAGAAAAGAAAATGGCATGAAGACTAAGTGGGTGATACATCTTTGTTTTAACCACAACAGGCTCATATTTTCTCTCGACCAATCATTTATGAAAACAAAGGCACATCAAATCACTCTTTTCATAAAGATTGTGAATTCGATCCAGATCAAATATATTTGTCAAATATAATAGAATAATATGTCAAACCACTTGTTACAGTAAAGTCCGCAACGTGTAAAAATGAGATACACACGATTATCAAACATTGTTTATATTTCTTATAACTAATTGTACAAAGAAAGTTATATACATTCATTTTACAATAACGATGGCTTATAGATCATATTTAGTTTTAAAATATCATTTAAGAAATGGTATACAATTTGGTCGTAATAAAACTGACTAAAGATCTAAAACGGAACACAATTTTAAAATTAGACTTGATTCTTGTTTCCTAGTTTGTGTGTTCTCTGTGAAAATAAAAGTTGTTTTGTCATTTTTATATAATATTTTAAATAGTATTTAGAGATAATGACAATATATTTACCATAACCCTATATTTTGTGAATCAGTATAATGATAAGTAATGATATATTTTATGTCTTCCACTGAAAACCAAGAGTAGAGTTTGTATTAAAATAATGTTTTTGACTAAACAACACCTAAAAGTACTGCTGCCAAAATAGTCAATTACAGTAAGTATTAAATATTTGATGAACCATTAAATGTTCTAATGCACTGTAATTATTTTAAAAAGTCAAATTTAGTTTTTGCTGTGATCTTGAATGTTGGAAAGTTGTTCATCATTTCTAGATTATGTACAAGTAAAATCGTTTGTCGTGAATCCATGTAGTATAGAAAACTATATTGTAGAGCTGTTTATCATGATTTGTAGAACTTTATAACAAGATAAGTGATTTTTAGCTCCCTCGGAACATATTTTATTCTAAAAATACTCCCTCTGTTTTAATATAAATGTCACTCTACAGCTATGCACACGGATTAAGAAAATAATTAATTTTACATATTTCCTATATAAAAACACAATTACCCATACACCTAACCATATTTTAACTAATAGAAAAACAAATTACATAATAAATTTAATAAATTTTACATTGAAAACCGAAAACGACACTTATTTTATAACATAAAAATTCTCTACAATGACACTTAATATAAAACGGAGGGAGTATATATCATGGTTGCATGTTAAAGAAAATAGTTTGACATTGTTAAAGAGATGTTTTAACGCATTTAGTTTCTACTAACAACTTTAATTGTCCCGTCTGCGCAAAACTATTTGTTCCGCAGTGCCACAAGGTTCGCAACCAGTTTTGGTAATAAAATAAAATGGATATATATAATGATCAGTTACAAAAAAGAAAAAAGATATATATAATGACGGTAACAAATTTGTGAAACATGTTTGATTTTCTACACGGTTATATTTTTTCTTGGGGCTAATACTAACATGAGAACATTTTTTCTTTTGTCAACCGTTAACATGACAAACATATGAGTTACAAACCTGCAATGATGGCCCATGAATAGTGAAACCCAAAATTTAACAGGCCTCATATGTTTATAAATGGTATCGACTCTTTTCACTTTTGTTGTAAACTATTTTGTTTACATGCTAAGTGGTTTTGCTTAACATGATGGCTCACATCACATACATATATGTAAGGACATCTCCAATAGCACACTATTTTTTTCTCTATAATCCCCTATATATTAATTGAGAAACATTTGAAAAGATGTAACCTCAAGTTTGTATTAATTAAAAAGTA